GAATTATGAGTAATCACGCTCTTGATACTACATTAAAAAAGTATACTGAAAGTATGCTAAGTACTACTTGAAGTTGTTCCAAAAAAGTACATTGAAGTATACTAAGTATACTAAAAGTTGTAATTTAATATTATTTAAATACTATTAAAATATACTAAGCACAAAAAATTTGTTCCAAAATAGTAGTTAAAGTACATAAATCAAACATAGTTTACTAACATACTAACATACTTTAGTATGCTAAAGTATGTTAAAATTTAATATACTAAAGTATACTTTTTTTTAACAAGGGAAGGTTTGCTTTAATTTAGGTTCTGCAGAGTACTTGCTTTAAGGCCCAAAACATTTAACCTAATTTAAGAATGAGGTCAAAACATTTCTTTAGAACAATAAGGGTATATAATTATAAAAGGATTAATCTGTCAACAAAAACAATTTTTTTAAGATTTGGTTTTTTAGTACTGAAGAGTGCGGTTAGTGAAGTCAAACTAATAAATCAATGCAAAGCAGAAATTAAACAAAAATCGTATTTGGGAATATAAAGTTTAAATATTTTTGCTGAATTCAAAATTTATCATTTTTGGATAACTGATTTTCTATTTACTGATCATTCACTGCTGTGAAGGACCTATATTACTATTTTGGAATATTAATATGGTGGACTTAGAGCATTTTAAACTTTACAAGAAAGCTTGTGCAGAGAAAGAAGCTGATCTTTTGCTGTAGTTTTTTTTTTTAGCACTAGTGGCAGGCTTGTCTGACAGAGGCAAGCCTGTCATGGGGCAGCCACTGTAAGACCACTATCCAGCTTGCCACTAGATAGTAGCAAGCTCATACCCCGTAAGTTGCCACCGTCACATATATTCACCATCACTACACTCTATAATGTGAAGTGCTTTGGGGTAAAGCCATTTACCATAGAAAGAGTTTGGGTCTGTCTACCTGGGGCTGCTATAGCCAACAGGAACCATGTCTACCTAGGTCATTAATAAATAAATGTATAGATGGCACATTCTTATTCTCATTATTATTGCATTTAGCAAATGTAAATAATTTGGTCATTCTAAATGACCTAATAGGAGAGAAGTTTGGTCTGCTTTAAGGTGTCTTTTGTTTGGTATATGTAAACTTCTGGTTTCAATAGTGAGTTTAAAATGAAAACATATTAATGTTGAAGTTATTTTAATGCATTTTAATACTTTTTTTAAACTTTTCAATTTACGCTGCAGTCCTCAAACGCTTTTTTGAAAATTTTAACAACTTGACTGAGACCCATGAAACATTTTTCTGCTTACTTCCTGTTTCTACTGCGTTAGGAGATTTTTACATTAGTACATATGTGTGAATGCTGTTGTGTTTAGTTCAAGCATTGGTCTTTAAACTTTAACCTCCTGTGTTTCTTTCTGTCTGTTATAGGGATGACAGCAGCAGCCTCACTTGTCTCTCTTGCATGGGCTTTAGCCTCCTACCAAAAGGCTTTACGAGAGTCCCGGGACGACAAAAAGCCCATTGGCTACCTTGCAGTCATCATCCAGTTCTGCTGGCACTTCTTCACTATTGCAGCCAGGGTCATCACATTTGCCCTCTTTGCCTCTGTTTTTCAACTCTATTTTGGCATCTTCATTGTTCTGCACTGGTGTATCATGACTTTTTGGATTGTCCACTGTGAGACAGACTTCTGCATCAGCAAATGGGAGGAGATTGTGTTTGATATGGTGGTGGGCATAATATATATCTTTTCCTGGTTCAACGTCAAAGAGGGATGTACAAGGTGAAAACACTTATGAGCACACTCTTATCTTAACCTTGTGAAGACATATTTATTTTAGATAGAAGGTATTTGTAAACAGAAAAGGTTTGCTTTAATTTAGGTTCTGCAGAGTACTTGTTTTAAGACCCAAAACATTTAACCTAATTTAAGAATGGGGTCAAAACATTTCTTTAGAACAATAAGGGTACATAATTATGAAAGGATTAATTTGTCAACAGAAACAGACAATATTTTTTTAAGATTTAGTTTTTTAGTACTGAAGAGTGTTGTTAGTGAAGTGAAACTAACAAATCACAATGCAAGGCAGAAATAAAACAAAAATAGTATTTGGGAAAATAAAGTTTAAATATTTTTGCTGAATACAAAATTGATAACTGATTCTCTACTGATGTGAAGGACCTATATTAATATTTTGGAATATTAATATGGTGGATTTAGAGCATTTAAATTTCACAAAATGGCAGCTTGCGCAGAGAAAGAAGCTGATCTTTTGCTGTTGTATTTTTTAGCACTAGTGGCCTTTATTTGAAAGTAATCTGACAGGAACAGGCAAAGAGAAGGGAAATGAACCAAGGACAGGAGTTGAGTTCAGGACGGTGTTCTGACTATGAGTGCTACCTCATTAGATTTTCCTACCGTAGCACGGATAGATAGCTATGTCTATATGTCGGTGCTACCAGTCTAAAACTTCTACCGTCATGCTTACAAACCGAAAACTATGGCGGGTTACGAGACCGGAGCTTAGGAGTTATCCCTAGCATATCATTGGA